GCATAAAATCGATCATTTTACAATGTGTTAAAAGAAAACTGAGAACGATTAATTTTCTATCATCTTAATCAATTGATATGTGCTTCAAATATGTGCACTCGATAGACTTAAATACATGATTGACGGTATCACAGAAGCCGGAGATAATCTCTGTACAAGCGAAAGACACGTTGAAATCGTTACGTAACAGAGATCGTGTTTTATTCAACTTCATCCGATAGATCCATCCATTGGTGGACGAAAGAGAGAGAAGGAACATATAACGCAACCTTTCCATCATCGCAAATGATAATAACCAACCGATGAATAAACAAAACGATCCATTTTTTTTCTTCGCGTCATCGCACATGACGACAATGCACTATTGATCCTAATTTCTTTAAAAGGTTATTATTATTATTAATTGTTTAAAGAGAGAGCGAGCGAGAGAGAGAAGATGCAAATTTTGCAAATATATCAATAACAATTTTTTTCTTTTTTTATTTCCTACAAGTGAAATTGTAAAAATTTCTGGATATTAAAATAAGCATGACCTAAAAATTACTTAAAAAAAAAAAAAAAGAGAAATACGTATAATAGAAAATAAAAAGCAACTTTCTCTTTTACATAAAAGTTTCACTCGAAGATAAATATCTAATTCTGAGAAATAAAGAAAAAGGGACATAAAATACTAAACGAAAATGATCGATATCACATACATAATACAGTTCTCGTGAATTTCTCACGGTAAATAAAAAAAAGAAAAGAAGGCTTAATTATAGAATTGAACAAATTAAAAAGCTTAGCGTGACAAAGCTAGCGTCTCAACTTATTAAACACTTTTTGCCGAATCAAGCAATACTGCAAATGTAGCAGAATAAAGTAGTGGTACCACGCTAAGGTATTACCTTACGCCCACATAACACATCGTCTATGGACATTATACAGGCGTTGCCACGAGAATGTTAAGGCTTAATAGTTCTACTTCCCGGACACGACGAGTTTCGACGAACGTAATACGAATCACCGACTGACAATGACATTGCTAACTGTATTATATACAATGTAAATAGATGATAGTCAATTTTATTTCTAACTAATCATCGAAATTTCATGAATTTTAATTTCAATTTTTTAAAATATATTTCTATTTTTTTCTAAAGATGCAAAATATTCCAAAAATTATGAGTATACACATAAAATTTCGATCTTTAGTTAAACATAATTAATATAATTTTATGACGGTTTCATGTTCATTATGATGGTTTACGTTCATTCCATTCATATGCGTGTATATTTTCTATATGTATATTTAGCGTGTGTATTTAACGGTACTTTATAGCTTCATGGAACCTCGAGTAAATTTGAATTAGGGAGGAAGTCCAATGTACGGTGTTTCAATTTTTCTTCGAGACCCCAGACAATCGCTCCTTTTGCCCGGGAGATATTAACAATAAATTAATCTAAACTATTAATAAAAGGTTTATTTTTTATCGCTATGACGATTATTACACTGTCGACTTTTCTTCCTTCAAAGAATACACTTTTGAATAATCTTTATTACGCAAAAATGAACACTGCCTTCGTCCGAACCTGTTGTTTGTCTTCTTCCTCGATGACGAACGTTGAGCTCGCTAAGAAGAAAAAAGCACTTAGTTTAATCTCTCGATCCTTCAAGCTTTTACGTCATTCGAGGTCAAAAACTAATGTAAGATATGACAGATGCATATACTTAACCCCTTTTAACTAATTGTGAATAAAATTATTGTATTTATCCTTCTCTCGAAGTTTATATCATTTTTATGATATAAAAAACGCGAGGAGTGTTAAAAATAATAATTGCTAATAAATACCATAAGAATGAACATAATTGCTCATATTTATCTCTCTAATTTAACGCGAGTTTTATATAAAAGATTTATAAAAAAAAAAAAAAAAAATGACAATATTGAATACTTTCTTTACCTTCGAATACGTTCGACTCTCTCTCTCTCTCTCTTATGGTATTATTTGAATGTAAGTTACATGTATAGCATCAGTTATGACGACGACGTTACCTTATGGTACTAAACGAACATAAAATAAGGAGTGAAACACTTTCGCTCGGTCGAAACAAAAAGCAAGTCGACCTATAACCCCCACTCATTTTCGCCGACCTAAATAATAACCGATTCTAGCCAATCCGCCAATTCGTCGTGTTACAATCTAATGCTCTTAACAAGCGTACGTATGTATATAAAGTATATTCGTGGCTGCTATGAGATGCAGTGAACCACAATAACACGAACACTTCTTAGAAATTCAACTAACACTATCGATCTTATCGTTAATAATTTCATCATTTCTATTTCCTATTATTATATAGGATTTTCTCCTGTCAATGAAACTATATTCTAAACAAATCTTAGCATAAAATGTCTTATTTATTTAAACATAACGTTCATACTCCATCCATAAGAATGAAAATTTAAATGTACGAAAAAAAATGGAGGTTTGCACGAGAGCAGGTGCAAGTTGATCGGTTCGTCGAAGATATGGCTTTGTTTTCTTTTGAACACCTGTCGGTGTCATCATCGTCGTTTCACCGCAAACAGATCGAATGTAACGTGTTGGTCGGCATCATTCAATTTTCTCGTATTTCTATTCAATCTCGTTGTGATTGATTATTAATTAACGCTAATCGTAAACTTTTAATACTTGTAATATTTTTAATATTTACGACAAAAATCAATGTATTGAAAAATAAATTTCTTATTAACGAGAATGTGTTGCGATTTCTTTCTCGTTGGCCTTGAGTGACTCATTCGAATGACTTTCGATTACGAGCAATGAACTTTGCAAAATGCATTGATTTTTCTGATGACGATAAGACAACTTGAGTATACGAGTATTATATAAGTAAAAAAGAAGAAGAAAAAAAAATACAGTGAAAAATATTGAGAGTGACATTATCGATAAAGTATTTCAAATGATCTCTTGCTACAAAATTATACGAATAAGGGTATGAAGGAATAAAGATCGTTTAATACACGAGATCCCACGTATTTACAAGCACGAGAGGTGTTAAGAAATCATTCTAAGAATGATTCCATTTTTGTCTATATAGCTAAATGGCAAATCGAATGAAAGAGGAACAGAAGAAAGTAATCAAAATGACAAGTAGGAATACGTGCATAGAAATTCTCGCAATCTACTCAACGATCCTCCTTTTACTTGGAATGTTGAAGAAAGAAAAGTAACCTTGTAAGGAGCTTCGTAAATCGAAATAATCGTTTCTTCGAGATAAATTATTTTCTTCTTTGGCTGATATAAAGTACCAAATATCTTCTGTATACTTATACATCTACTTAGATGTGTGTGTGTGTGTGTGTGTATGTCATCGATGAACTGGTAACCGATCGATACCGGTCGATATATCGGTTTGAAGTATCTATTAATTAAATTACCTTTGTGGTCTTACTTTCGCTCGAATTTCATTGAACAAGAGACTTCGATCCTGGATCTGGATGTTTAAGAAAGAAAGAGAACACTAGTCCCGCAGTACAATTCTCGGCGATAAGGAGTTGGCGCGAACGCGACCACGAGGAGAGACATAGTACAGATACATAGTGGAGATATTATGTAATAAAGCATTACGAAAGCGGGGTCAGGCTAACGAGAGACTTGCATTAGCATTACAACTGCGGCATCGCTTCATATTATAAGCCGCGGAAAGAGTTACATCCTCGTATCCTCGTCTACTTCTCTTCTTCTCCCTCATTTCCTATGTCTGTGCATACATTTTACCTGGTCCAATTAATGCCACCCGCTGCCCTTTTTATATTTGTACAACTGGAAAGTTGACAACTTCGAAATTGGTGTTAAACTTATAACTTTATACTTGTAGTTGCAATTGAAGAAGAAATGTGTTTCACCTAATGCGACGAATGAAAAAAAAAATATAAAAGTGTAAAAATTGGAGATCGACTTAGAGTCGAACTCGTGGGATTCTTCTATAGGAACTCTTAGAAGATAACAAGAAAAGGATCTTCTCGGAATCATAAATAAAAGCGTCGTGTTGTACTCGAGCGTACTCGTTGAACGATGATCGTTCAGGTTACCACTCTCGCTCGCACTTGGTCTCCTTTCTTTCGACTTTTCTTCTTCTTCTTCTTCTTCTTCTTCCTTCTATTCCATTCGGAAAGCAATACCTCCCAGCAATATCTAACAGCAACACATCCAACACAGCACGCGTTCAACAGTAAACTCTTCTCATTGACATTCTTAACGCATTTTACACAGCAGGATCTTCTTCTTCCTCTGGGACCTGATAAAGAAGGATGCTGTTCTACCATTATCACGATAATTGCTCCTCGTTGCTTCCCGTAATATCATTAAATAGGATATTCGTAATAATAAGAAACGTTGTAATTACCTATATAAGTATCTTAAGATAAAGACGGTTGAATCGAATTTTATCTGACATCAAATCGAGGTCTTGGTAAAGCTTGTCGTCTCGGATTATGGTTTAGAAACGTGGATATTACCAACCAAGCGAGATATTAGTTTCACTAATGTGCATTGGACAACAACGATCGTTGAATGAGCATTAACACGTAATGATTTATGAAAACGCATCGATGATCACGAGTATTATTGTAAAACGATATACCATATATCCGTAACTTATATCTTGTTAGAAAAAGATTAGAATAATTATGATAGACCACATACTCGTAAAGAATTTTTCATTGTTGTTTAAAAATCAATAAGACTTCATTCCTAACCAATGATTTTTACATTGCTCGATAAAATGTCAGTAATAAATGTGCTAAGGCGCCAATGGAAATGTTGTTATTTGATAAAAATCTTCGAATATAGCTCAATTGCACCATAGCTATGCACTTTGCGTGAATCAAAAAACGCGCCAATTTTATCCACCAATCATCACAACTTACCTATTTTTTCTAAGAAAGTACCTACTCTTGCCATCTGATGGTCGCTGTACTAACTATAATGATTTTGGTTACGCGAAAAGTGGACTTATGAGCTTTTATGTATTTCTGTATTCTTTGATATTAATTGTAAATATTTTTTTTCGACCGATACACATCTGCTGAGAATCAACAAATACACACTGTCTAGATAAAAGGTTATGAAGAAACAAATAAAAGGTTTCATTTTTTAAAAATATTGAAAAATAATTGAACATGGAGACGTTTTTGAATATTAATTGGTAAATATGTGTGTTTTATCTTTTTGATTATATTTCCAAAATGATTGCTTTGAAATATATATAACGTATAATGATTTGTATTTTAGGGGTACTAGTTTTACTGATATTGTTGATAATGAATTTATTAATGGAAAAAGATTATTAAAAGAAAGCGTAACGCATAGATTGTTAAATGGAGATTTTAAAAATCCATTCAGTCACATGGATGAAGATTATGAAGCAGTTAAAATAGATATGACAGAAATCAGTGATGATAGTTCAGAAGAAAACGAAACTCCGTTTTCTTTTGAATTTCCAATGTCTGCTTTGACTGCTGAGGAACAATATATATGTTTACGTACGATAATGAAATTTAATCGTAATGAACTCCCAATCATAACCCCTGAAGACAAACAAGATTTATGTACCTTTAATGTAAGTAAAATATAAAATAATATATTTCTTTTGTGATTAATATTATTAATATATTTGGAAATATAATGATAAAATTTAGAAGAAGAAAAATATCATAAAGAAGGAACAAGATCTATATTTGAAGATTGTTGAAAAGATATGGAAAACAAATAAATGGACTAAGATTTATTGTGAGAATTTTTTTAACGCAAAATGGAAAGATAAATTTAACAATGTTCATGCATTACCAACATATTATCTCAAAGTAACAAATATTCCTCGTATTTTGGATGAAGAAATCAACGTAAAATTTGTATCTACTTGCTTAACTAAGGTACTAAATTGTAACTTCAAAATATGAAAATAATATAGTTTTTTTTTTCTCTCTCTCTCTATATATATATATATATATAAATTAATTGAAATAAAAAATATTGGACATTCAGGGAAAACTACCAGAAATAAAATTGCCGTCTCTGACTAAACCTTTTAAATTAGATTGCAATTGTAAAAGATTACAAAAATATTTTCCAATATTAAATATATCGTGCAATCCATCGATGCATTTCAAATTACCTGTAAGCGAAGATCCAAGTTGTATATCGTTAGCACAAGACAATGAAGTTGATTTAGTTATTTCATCAAGCGGTCTAAAATATTTAGCAAATGATGATAGTGGGCGAACTCAATTAAGAAGATGGTTGTTACCTGTAACGATTAAACATTCTAATGGGAAAAATATTATATATGTTAACAAACCAACACCACCGATTCAGGCTACTGTGCCAGAAAAAAATCGTTATGTATTCAAATATATTTTAAGGAAAACTCTATTTGAATATGAACCTGTATCTGAAAAGTAAGACTAAGTAGTAATGTTGATTTATTTGATAGTAAGTAATAACATATAATTTGATAATAATATATTTTTAATACACATATTAGGTCAAATAATACTAAAATATATGACGATGATATGTTCGGAAATCTTCATTCCGATGATTATTTACAATTGGAAGGAGATCAAAGTAGTTTGCATAGTAGATCGACTAATAGTTTGACTAATAGTTCGACTAATAGTTCGATTAATAGTTTGACTAACAGTTCGACTAATAGTTTGCATAGTAGATCGACTAATAGTTTGACTAATAGTTCGACTAATAGTTCGATTAATAGTTTGACTAATAGTTCGACTAATAGTTCGAGCAACACAGAACTTATGGAAGATTTAGAAAATAAAAGTGTAAATGTAGATGTATCGGAATTAAAAGAAAGTGATTACTTAAATGCATCCAAATTAAAGGAAGAAATGCGTAAGTATTAACGAATGACAAATGGGGTGACAATGTATCAATATTATGTTGCCTTTTAATAATATGGCACTTTTCGATAAAAAATCTGAACAACTTGAACGAACACGTTACTTGAAACTTACAAGAAAAATGTTTTATTTTGCCAGATAATATAGAAAAAGAAATCCAAAAAGTAAAGTACGATATAAAAGCAAGTTACGTATCATATAATCTTTTTACAATTGGACCATTATCCAACCAGAAAAAGATTAAAGAGTATAAAATATTAGTGCGTACAAAAGAACATGGATATGAAACTTTAGAACATAATTCAGAGAAATTAACAAGACAAAAACTATTATTAGTACCAAAATTGGAGCATCAAACTGCATTTGGAGGAGAAGCTATAACGTTAAACGAAGGATTGAAACAATGGATATCTTTAATCTTTCGTCCTAACACATCTATTGCAAGAGGTATTTAATGCTTTAACTGTATGTTAAGCAAAATGTATCTTCATATATTCATATATATATATATTATATTTAAACAGTGAGAATATCAGTGAGCAAAGCAGAAATAATACAAATACAAAAATGCAATGCCAAGACAATTTCTAATGAAGTCCAACGGCTTTATAATAAAAATGTAAATGTTTCATTGATTTTATTATATAACATGATTAAAAGTTTATCATGTGCTTCTCCTGGTAATTATATTATTACAAACTCACACGAGAAAACTTCTTTCTGCATTTACAAAGAAACATCTACGATGATGGGGTACGCATATTTTATTCTATTCAACAATTGTACGTTATAAATCAAGCCTGGAGTTTGAAGCAATTAATCTTGATTACATTTTTGTAGGGAAGACCTTTTAGACCTAAGCTCATTATATAAATTTTCTCACTGTCGTACAATACCTACTTTCTCGTGGCCTAAGTTGGACAAATTATGCATAACGCCATTACATAAACGTTTAAATAGAATGCCACTTATGTTTATTCCCCGAAAAGGACACAAACGAAAGTTTGAAGGAAAAAGTAGTACATCAAAATAAATAAATCAATCAATATTAATAGAATATTAATTTGATGTACATTTATAAGTAACTATTTTTACATTTTATATAGAACAGAATTTGTTCTGTTATTGTATCAAAAAGGACAATGTATATTTATGAATGTAAAAATATACGAAATAGTTTTAGTAAGACTTTTTAATTAACATGAATTATTTGAATTGTATACATTAATGATACTAATTGATTGATTGTCCTATGTACGTGTTATTTAATACAATTCTAACATTGCTTCGAAAATAAATCTCTCTCTATTGAACAATATATGTAGGCACAGTATTATATGTATAAATATATAAGTGTATATAATAAAAATATATAAAATGTGTACAAAATATAAATTCCTATGTATAATTAAACTTTTGGACATAGAAAAGAATCTTTAACCATGTGCTAAACATCCAACTCTCACAACAATCAAATATTGAGATTCTAAAAATGATTTATATCATTTAATTAGTAGATAATATCATATATATCATGCTGATATTATTATAAACTGCAAAAGTTTACTTATACTTTTTATAATCTTATTACATTGAATGTTATCTAATCAGAATTAAGTAGAAACTAAAGATAAAAGAGCTTTTTTGTAGTCACCAGAGGTATCATCCTGTGAAAGATATTACATTTTGTAAACATAATGAAGCATAAAATATTGAATGAATAAGAAAAAACAAAAGAGAAATACATACAGCAATCCAACTTTCCAAACTTTTACCATAACGTTCTTCGAAAGCTTTTTTAATATCACCTAAATCTATTTCACTTCTTGATACAATAATGCGTATCAAAGTTTTATCTTTTGTTCCAATACCATGCATGCTGTCATATAAACGTTCAGCAAAGAAACCAACCTTCGATTTAACACATTTTACTATAAAAAGAAGAATAATGGTTATTATTAAAACTTAAAGTTTCATTCTTTTTTTAATCATTTCTTTTGATTAAATACTAACCTATTCCTAAAAGACCTTTTTCGATGCTTCCAGAAAATTCCTTTTTGATGGCAACCTCTATGTCATGTCCAGCAATTTTTTCATATTCTAAGAAGGTTTGTCTCAATTGTTGATAACTTCGTGTAATTAATATAGCATTAAATTGAGATTCGTCGGTACCCCATTGCTTTTCACCTATAATTAAAGAAAAATGTATATTTTTTCGGATCAAATGGTATAAATAAAATAAATTCAATTGGATTATTTTCGTACCAGCTTCATAAAGTGCTTGAGCATCAGCAGTCGCTTGATCGTGATCTATTCCTTGATTTTCATCCCTGTTAGCTTGAACAAGAGATACTAACAATCTTTTGAAATGACCCGAAGTATCTCCCTTTAAGTCGCTTTCCAAAGTTTTACTGTATACTGTAAATAAATGTTCAAATATCAAATGTTCTTTAAAATAGAATAACTTAGAAGAAGAAGAAGAAGAAGAAATGTATTTATAAATAATCACTTACAATTCTCATAAAATGCAGCAACAGTGCGAATACCATAATTACTAAGCGTGCAAAGAACTTCTACAATAGCTTCTTCGTCTGTTCCTAATCCACTTACTGCATTGTGCAATTCTTTGGCATAATAATGCGGCAAAGGTGTCATAAGGGCAATTATAACGTCTTCTAATTTCCCTGTAAGCTCACTTTTAAGGTCACTTATTAGATCTTTTCCATATAAAGTTTTATAAGCTTCAGCAATTTCTAAACGTTGAACTATTCCTCTTCTGGTTAATACATCAATGATAGCTCTCTCATCGGTTCCAAAACCTTTCATGGCTTTTCTAAGCACAGCTGCATCCGCATTAGCATCAAACGGATCAGCAGGATATACAGTTGGTGTGCACTATAAATAATTACATATATATATATATATATTATAAATCTTTAATCAAGAAAAGGAAAGTGGTACAAGATTTAATCATCTCAAAGTTATTATTACTTACTTTAAATGGATAATATTGTTGAGACATTGTTGGACCGTTATAAATAATACTGGAAAAAAATTAATTTCATTTATAAATACATTTATAATAAATTGCAATTTTGTACTTATTAGTAATATACACTACTAGAGTACGTATGCAACTTAAATTTATATTTCACATAATATAGTTCATATTATTATTGAAATTATTTCAAAATAATCAATTAATTGAATAGATAATAGTCATTTAGAAGATGAAATTATATTTGCAAATATGATATATATATTCTTAACATGTTTTCTACAAAACTACCTGAGATATACTTATTTGTTTGATTATTTAATTACATTGCAATTTATTTTAAAGATAATTAACATTATTTAAGAAAATATCATTAATTTTACTTTACCAGTAGTTTCGTTATTTCGTTAATGTTTCTTCTACACGGTCAATCGCGTAATGATAGACTGGATGTTGGAACACGTCAATAAGTTTTATCCGTCGATGACTAATAAAGTATCCTACTTATTTAAAGAATACATCACACAACTATCCAGTGACTAATTTCATTAAAAAAAATCCTGAGTATATTTAGATGTATTATAAAGAATTCAATTAATAAAGATTCTTATCCATAATTTATATATTTAATCTTATTCTTTTGTTTATCTATATTCATTAATTAGAAATGTTTTTATGGTATGGGTGTGGCATCAGATTACGTGTGTGCTATAATAATGTATGACGATGCAGCACCCTGCCTACGTCACAATACGTTACGCCACTGTATTGCTGCTAACATATGATTGGTTAATAGAAAAAAATTGTCTTGACATCATTGGTCATCGATTTAAAGAATTAAGGTCGACTTTTAAAAATGCGCGCTAACACTCGTCGCACACATATTATATTTCAAATTAATTATTAAAAAAGCAGGAAAAAAACCAGGACTTATTATTATCTCATTAATTTAATCATCTCTCCTAAGAGAATTATAATATAGTAGTTCTACATATTATTTATCGAATAGATAGTTTTAAAAAATAACAAAATATCAACTTGTACGTACTTGTGTGTTGTTGTATATCACCACATCATTTAATTTGACTTAATTTTAAACATTTTTTTGGTAACAATTGTTAAACACGTAATTATATATCGAAAATATTTGTGCGTAAAAGTTACTATTACTTTATAGTCATATCTATAGACATAGGCCCTTGTACTTAGCGAAAAGATGGAATAATCATATAATATCATATTATACTACTAAAGTTAAAAGTATATACTTAATATCTTGTAAAAATATAGTTTCGTAATATGTACAGAAGTATTAGCTAAGAATCAGAGATACATTATAAATTCGTTTTCATATATCTTCATCGACAACATAATATATTATTATTAAATTGAAAAAAAATTTAGAAAATCTCATATCTAATAATCACCGAGTAGTTCTTTAATAGCTTTTTGAAAATGTGCTATTATTTTCTTATCATTATATCAAAGTAATCGGTTTTTTCTCTTGTCCATAATTAAATTCTTCTATCCAGCTGAAAAACTGTAATTTTTTTATATATATATTTGTATTTTAAAACTGATAAAGCTAAGCATACTTTATCTTTAATGTGATTGTAAAATACTTAAGCAGACACGAAACATCAAGGGTGAGAAACTATCAACGCGAATAGTAAAATGAATTAACTTTTTCTCTCTCTCTCTCTCTCTCTCTCTCTCTCTCTCTCTTCTTTTTTACGAGTCCAAATCTGGTAGAGCACAATTGCTATAACTGCTGCTGCTGCTGTTGTTGTTGTTAGTGGTGTTGTTGGTGTTGTTGTTGCTGTTGTTGTTGCTGTGGTTGTAAATGTCCCGCGTGTCGTTGAAATGAATATCAGGTGATGAGCTACCCTTACCAATAAGGGGATTCTTTGATTTTACGAATTTGTTTCTGCGAGGACTGCATACCTATACAATATTTAGGAGGAATGTTTTCTTTCTCATAATTCTTATAGCATTGTATGCTCTGATGATAGCGGTTTACTTGAAGAGGGAAGCAGTTTTGATCAATATTTTCCGTAATTGGCCTATCTACCGATGATGGAGACATCAATCCATTGTCAACGCGATTGCAAATATCTTGATTCTTATCCACCAATTTCTTTGAACAAACAATCAGAATATAAATATATTAATCATTTTGTATAACGATTATATCTAAGAAAAAAACGATCTAAGAAAAAGAAAATACTCACAAATTTTCGGCTTTCCATAAATTTGATAACACCTTCATTTTCCCCATTGATTAGATCTATTTCAAATTTTTTTCCAAGTATTTTGACTTCCTTCTTACGCACATTGTTCAGATTATTATCGCGCATACTTAAGGGCGCTTTCGAATTTTTTAAAAGACCATCGTAGGAAGAGAACATTTTCAGATCTTGAAACTGTGTTCCTACTAATTCTTGACCATGATTTTTTGGTCCTAAAATTTTCACCTAACAAAATAACAAAGTATATTTGTTTTCTTCCAAAGTTATATCCAATTATTTGTATTTAAATATCGATTTGTTTTTTCTTACCTTCGTATTAGCTTGATTTTCTGAATCGAGAATTTTGATTTCTGGATGATTGAGGGCTATCATTCCAGTATTGTGATCGTTTTCATCAAATGATAGTTTCATTTTGGAATCACATTCTACATGATCGTGTATAGTATTGTTAATAATAATCATATCTTCTGATATACTTTGATTAGACTTAAACAAAGGCAAGGTATTATTTATCATCGATGTAGATGAATGATTCTTGTATAAAAATGAGGTACTTGTTTCCCTTGAAAATCCAGAAATATCATTTTTATGATTAAGAATATTCATAAAATCGTGATGATTCGACATTACATCTAAACCTATAAATTTAAACAAATGTATCATGTATAAATGCATAGATAATTATGACAACGGACGGTATAATTAATTATTTAAAAATATATAATACTTATATTAACCTTCGTCATCGTGTTCCGTAATATTGATACTATTATGTTCAATACCCAAAGATTTAGAACAAAGAATAAAATCATCAATTTTGGGTTGAGGTAAAAAGTTATGATCGTTCATGAAACGTTCATCGAGACATCTGCTTTCCAAAATATTCACTTCTTTATCCTCTAACATCTCAATCGAATCCATCGGCGGCATTTGCTTCCGCGATGAATTAGAATTAAGAGCCGTAATTTGATTATTTGCATCGTTAATTATCATATCATTGTTATTATGTAAATTTGCAGTATTGATAGAGTCCGATTCGTCGTTATTAAACATTGTCATCTCGTGAGAATTCTGTACCATAAGATCGCGAGCTTCATTACTTGTCATTAACTGTGAAGTTAAGTTTGTATTGAATATTTTTCTAGTAATTAGATTATTTTAGAAAATATTACCTCGTAACCACCATCTTCAGTTGCACGAATAAATTGTATTCCACCTTGTACAGCAAGATCTAATAATTCGTTATACTCATCGGTCGTAGAAATTGTAGATGGATCAAACGAACGGTGTAATTCACTTCCGATATGATCCGAATATATAAATTGACCGTCTAATGATGTCGTAGTAGACATACCTAACATTTGGTAATACATCAAAATAGAAATACATTTACATGAGATAATAAATGTAAAAGATACCTTGATGTGATTCGGATCCAGAGTCAATAGCAAAACGTGATTTTCCATCGGATTCGATTTTTGGAATGACAGAATTTACAATAGGCACACGTATTTGTATAGATTTGATATTATCCAAATTTCTAGTTCCGATAGAATTCATTCTCTCAGTTGTCTTTGTATCTTCGCTATTCGTAGAAGAAACGTTCTAGAAAAAATATGTATATAAACGTTGGATACGAATTAACAAATATTTGTATTCATTTTTTTTTTTTTAATCTATATAATATTTTTTGATAATAACAAAATTTATATATATATATATAAGGTTTTATTTCTAACCTCCGGCATTTTATTCCCTTCTTCACCGGGCAATTGTACTATTCTGACATTTTTACTACAACGAAATAAATCAAAATATAAGTTTAGAAATACTTGTACACATAAATAACAGGTTTATTATAAATTACTTGAAGAATTCATTATAGAATTTATATAAGAGTTTTTTTTTACATACTTTTTAATAATATTCTGATTGTTGGGTCCGGCCGGCGGACCAACTGGCTGCCGATATTTAATGCCGTGTTTGTATTCCTCGTGCGATCTCAATGAAAATCTTCGTGGAAATTCTTTGTCACAAATCGTACACGTATATTGCATTTTTTCAGCATGCGCGTGTGCCTTTACTTTATGACACACTAAATTCGACATTTGATTAAAACCTTTCCCGCAAATGTCGCATTTATATGGTCTCTCGTTTGTATGAGTGAAAACGTGATTTCTTAGATTACCTAAACAATTGAAAACTAATTAATTAGATACCACTTTGATGAAATGTTTACTATGGAAATGGAAACTATGTTTACACCTTTTTGATGAAATCCTTTTCCACATATATGACACTTATGTGGTTTGTGTTCGGAATGAGTTTTCCTATGCGAGATTAATGTTGATACTCTAAAATATAAAATACATTTATTTATTTATTAATTCATTGATTATTCCATTTGTTGCTTACTTCGTCGTACCTATTGAATGTTTTTTTGCAAAATTCACAGATGTACGGTCTCGCATCGCTATGAATGGCTTTATGTTGACTTAAAGTTGACAATTGACGAAAAGCTTTACCACAAATTTCGCATTTAAAATTTCTTTCGTCTGTATGAGTTGGTAAATGTCGCATCAATGTGTATTGATGGCGAAATTCTTTAGAACCTGTATTTATATTGATTAATAAAACAATTATAATATATTAGAAAAATCACAAATGCAAATAATTAATCATACGTACAAATTCCGCATTCCCAAATTTTGATCGTTTTCCCATCGCGTTTTAAACGTTTGACAAAATGTAATCTTGATCTAATATCATCTTTATCAATTAAACGAGTGGTAGAAGAAGATGGACCGTCATTTAGCGGCGGATGTGAGTAAACGACAACGTTATTATCATTCGTAGGATTGCATTGTTCTAAAATCTGTAGAAAAAATTCATCTTATTTCATTCATATTCAATTTGTTAGTTTCAATTGAGAAGTAATGACAAATATATTTGATTTATTTATTGTTCAACTTGTTACTTTATAATTCAGAGCATCCTTTCCGAGAAGTTTGCTGACTGTGCTCTCAACTTTAATTATGTCAGTATCGGTGATTGTATCCAAATTCATTGAGTTATGTAAATCACCCTTCAACAAATAATTTATTTAATTGATATTATTGAAAATTAAAGAACAAAATGCAATTTTTAAACAATTTTCATTGATAAATGTTATCATTTACTTGAATTAATTGATGATCGTTCGAAGATGGTGCGCTAGAAATAATTTGAACACTCTCTGTTAAAACATCATCTTTAGGTTCTTCTTTTACAAATACCTCGTATACACTGAAACAATATATTTATTAATATTAATAAAAAAAAAATAATAAAAAGCGATTATTCAAGCAATAATTTTACCTGATTACTTCATCTGGAACTGTTCGAGAAAATTGTACTTCGTTTTCGTCGTATTGCGTACTTTCAACGCAATCCAAAAGAGAATCTCCAAAATTATTTGTTTCATCTATCAATAATAAAGACAATATAGAACAATCAAGAACACAGTTTTTTTTTTTTTTTTGTGTGAATTGAAGATTGTAATCAAATACTTTTACGCATCTACGGATTTACTAATCTCTTTTTACCAAGTATTTCCGGTAGAAGTTAGATTTATTCATTCAAAAGGAAGATAAGAAAGTGTATTCATGCACATATACACCACATCAATATTTGTTCGTATCTCATTTGTTAATATAAGTATATTGACAAATAATGCCAGTACTTGGAAAAGAAAAAAGAAAATAATAATTTGTTCATACACAATAGGATGTCTCAAATAACACGCGACTGCGAGTGCAGTGAACATTACAGAGCAAGAATAACAACTACAATCAAAATCATCAAAAGTATGTATATATATATGTGAAAGAGACAAGTTAAAAATGTGCACACATACTAATTATTGTGTTTTCCATCTTTCTTCGTTTCTGTAATAATAAATAAGATGACGAAAAGTCCAACACATATACTGAAGAGTACTTATCTTTCATTCCATAGGATTATACATACATCTTTTTTATCAAAGGATACTTGAGAATTTGTATACATAGAAAAGTTATGTTAATTCTATCCTATTGATATCAATTAGTAAGCTGAAAATGACTTTATAATACATTTAGAAATTTCACCACAGCTCGTGTTAATTAGATAATTCAAATAATTTCAAAATGTTTTTAAAAATAGTAGATAATTAAGTTTAATTAAAGATAAAGAATTTGTAGCATTCTCTCTTTGCATTATTGTCTTGGAAATAATTTAAATTTACATAATTGTTATAGATACATTTTAATATAAACGGAAGTAATACACAAATATTCAAATCTTCAACAACTACCGGTGTACGTGAAATGATCGATTATCAGGGAAATTTGAATTAAATATTAAATTTAAATATGCGTGTTGATTGTAATCTGATAAAAAAAAAAAAAAAAAGAGAAAAAAATTCAAGAGAAATAAATAAATATTTGAAATAATAAATGTAGCATCGATGAAAGATGCGTTCTCCAATATTAAAAATTGACTATTCATAAACTGTTTTTTGCGTATAATGAGGAAAAATGAAGTGTTATGCATGTATCTCAACGATAATTAACATTCGGAAAGACAATCTACGAACTATAGGGATCAGTAGAAGGGCGATATTTGGTAGATGGACTTTTTTTTTATTCTATCGATGATATTAAATAAACAAAAGCCGCCATTATCAGAGCTGATCGCGTTTGAAGCGCGTTACGATCGCTTAACTTTTTTCTAACAAAACTATTTAATAGAAACTTATTAAATGATAAATATATCAAAATAAATAATTCTGATTACTCACAATTATATGTTTGTAGTAGATTGTTATCGGACATCTTTTTAACGTCAGATTTTAGTCTAAAACTATTAGTTTTGCACGTGGACGTTTATATCGCGGCTGTATTCGCATCGACCGCCACTATGAAAACGTATGTAAATGGCATTAAATTAATCGATGACTTGTTTAAAACGCCTCTCAACGGATTCATTTGCAATTATTCCCTTTTATTGAAAATTGACGCTCGCTATATGTCGAACAAGAAGAGCAGTAATTTCAATAAATTCATCTAATAAACAAATGAATAACCGGTTAGAATAATTAACGTTTCACGTCATTCTTTTATTTCCCCTTTTTTCTTTCTACTTTCATTGATTACATTTTAATTACAATTAAAACAATTCAATCATTAATACGCGAATTATTTCCTTTTTTTTTTTTTTTTAATATTTGAATATTTGAATATTTTGAATATTTTTGAATATTCCGTTACACTACTCAATCGGTATATAGTTAACGTTCGCATGGTAAAACAGGTAATGCGACGCGATGCCATCTAGTTTCATTTTGATACTGTTTGTTATTATATATATCAAAGGAGACTTTGGAATAAGTTTATATTTTTATTTGTATTTTTATTTGTAGATAGTAATATAAAGAAATATTAATTAAAAATGGAAAATACAGTACCAGAACCAAAGTATCTTTTACGTAATAATATGGGACCCGTTCATTGTCTTTCATTTTATCTTACTTCTACCAGGGAACATTTATATGCTGGTTGTTCTTCAGGCAATATTTACATTTGGGATTTGGAGGTATGAAAAATATGTCTTTTTAGAATATATTTGAAATGATTTAACATATTTATTGTATACATTAAATATTTATTTAATACTAAATATAATTTTTCTTATTTTCTTATTTATCCAATTTTTGAATCATAACATATATTAACATATTTATTTCAGACTAATAGGGTTGCGAAACAGTTTCATGTAGGAGAAAAAGATCCCTGTCTAACTATGCTTAATATGAATGACAATCATTTATTAGTCCAACAAAAATCAGGTAGTATCAAAATGTACAAATCCGCTGAATCATATTGGGAAATAGATAGAGAAATTCATCTTGATAATTATACCTTTTGCAGGTATATCATTTTACTGTTATAATCAAAGAATAGATTGAACAATTACATTTATGAGGGACTTTTTTGCATGATTACAGATCTCAAATATTATCGGAAGATGTTATCATTGTTCCTCTTAAAAATTCTAACATTGGATTGTATTCCACCCAAAATTTAGACATGATCACGACGTTAAATTGCGAACAAATCTCACGTGGGAAAAACTTAGGTGAAGTAATGGCTATAAAACCCTTGTCATCTGATAATCAACAAGTTCTTATCGCTTACGAGCATGGATTACTTGCATTATGGGATATAAGAGAAAGAAAAGTCCTTCATTATATGCATATTGAATCTTTCCCCATGACTCTTGACTTTGAAACTAAAAATATGCAAGGAATAGTTGGTTTTCCTTCTGATAAATTGCAGGTAACATTTGAATTTGTATAATTATTATATTTCAATCGGATCATATGATATATGATATATAGAATTTCTTCTTTATAATCTAGATATTTAGTTTATTATCCGACAAATTAATAGATAAAAAGCAAATAACTTTAAGAACATCTGGTACGTCTGTTACAAGTTTAAGACCGGATACAAAAATTTGTGCTGTTGGTAGCTGGAACGGTCGTATTAGATTATACGCTTGGAAAAAGTTACAATGTTTAGCTGTGATTAATGAATATACAGATATTGTCTACGATATAGTTTATTCGCATAAAAAAGTACAATCGTACGATTGTAAATGTTTAATGGCCGCTGTAGGATTAAATGGTTCTATATCTTTATGGGATCTTTATAATTGATGATATATTGAATCAATTTTAGGATTAAATATCTTTCTTCCACTGTAAATATTAAATAAATATATATACATTGTTTTTTAATGAAATGTAATGAAAAAATCATTTAATCTATAATTATCATTGGATTTTATTTTAATTTTTTTATTGTTTTCTTTGTATACATACACGTACTCAATCGATCTTGTTTGATTTAAGGTTACAATATATCTTACTATCGAAACCACGTGAATTCTTAAGAATTTTTAAGTACTCTCTTAAAGATAACTGTATAAATATATTTATTAAATCAGGTTATTCCCTAAAAGAATATTTCCAGTGGAAAACTTTTAAGTGAAACTTGAAAAAAAGAACAAAACAAAATGTATGAGTGGTGCCTTTCACTACTACCACCACCACCACCACCACCACCACCTCTCACCTGTTATACTCGATTTATCAATACTGTCACAATATTTTTCAAATATGTTCACAATCATATCTCAGGTGAAGATGTTTTGATAAAGATTATTATCGAATTATTACGAAAATGTGATAATAATAAATCGTTTATAAAATCACAGTTGTTCCCGGTTGTTTTTTTTAGACACATTGCAATTACACATAATCATCGCCGCGGTTTTATAATTCCATCGTCAATATTTGTTTTTCTTTTATTTTCCAAGAAAATGTTTTCTTTAAGAAAATTATTCTTTAACAAGTCTACATTATTTAATAAACAATTGCACACTTCGAATTTATTGTAAGTAATTATGTTTCAAGAATATACATTGTAATTTTATTATTATAAATTATAGAAACTTTTTATATTAGATTTTAAATGTAATTTATCCTTAAGGATTGTTATTAAATAATGTGAACAATAATTAAAACAGAAGTACGTATTAAAACAAAGAATAATTTAATGTGAAAATTGAACAAGTTTTTTCTACATGAAAAATGAATTCTCTTAGAGTTTGTATTTTGTTTAGAGTGCAAAGTTTCATTTAAAAAATGCTTTGTCTTTCTACATATATATTTTGTGTACTAAAATAAAGGTAATATTATTTTTAAATATTCGTTTAGAGGTTATAAACTAGAATTAGTTAATCCTTTGTTGAAATTAAAAACAATGACAATACTTGTTGACTTCTGATTTAATTATATGTAGAATCCACGAACAAGTTTAAAGTGTAATTATGATTTTGTAGATACGATGCGATTATAATAGATGGAAATAAAATTTCAAATGAAATTAAGGAGGAATTAAAAAAAGACATCAATGCTTGGGTAAGTGTAGGCAACAAGAAACCAAAATTAGTGGCTATTCTTGTAGGAAAGAATCCTGCCAGCCAAGCTTATGTTAAAAGAAAAATAGAATCTGCAAATTTCGTAGGTAATACATGTTGTTAAAAAGTATATACAAATTTAATGCTAATGATGATTAGTTACTTATCAATTAATTGTTTAGGTATTGAAAATTACACAATTAATCTGGATGAAAGCATAACTCAAAAAACGTTACTGGAAAATATAAATAACTTGAATGAAGATCCATCGGTAGATGGGATTATTGTGCAATTACCATTGCCAAAGGGTCTCAATGAGAAAGAAGTGTGTCAAGCAATATCATCCAGAAAAGATGTTGATGGTTTTCACTTAGAAAATATAGGAAATTTGACATTGGATAATAAAGGTATTATACCGGCAACTGCATTGGGTGTAAGAGAGTTAATAGTAAGATCAAATGTTGAAACCTTTGGAAAGCACGCAGTTGTGATAGGAAGATCTAAACACGTTGGTTTACCAATAGCTCTGTTACTACATGCAGATGGTGCAGGTATTAATATCTAAATTAACATTAAATTATTGTTTTTCTATCAAGTTCATAGAGCTGCAGTTTGAAATGTAATAATTTTCATAGGAGAAACGGGTGGATTAGACATGACAACAACAATTTGTCACATCAATACTCCTCCTGAACAATTAAAACAAATGACAAGACTTGCTGATTTAGTAGTAGTAGCAGCTGGTATTCCTGGTTTAGTTACAAGAGACATGATCAAACCTGGAGCATGTGTAATTGATGTTGGAATTAATAGAATCAAAGACAAAAGTAGTAATAAAAACATCCTTGTTGGAGATGTGGATTATGAACAAGTGAAAAAGGTTGCAGGATATATAACACCTGTACCAGGTGGTGTGGGTCCTATGACAGTTACGATGTTGTTAAAAAACACATTTACAGTGGCTAAACAAAATTCAGAAAAGAAATTATAGTAGCTGAACATTTTATAATAAAGTCATTTTATGTACACATGAAAGTATTTAAAAAAAAAAAAAAAATACAAAATATACGTTCAAATTTGAAGTACAATTGCAACACCAGCAAGAATCCACTTATTTGCTTTGTCACGAGTTCTTAAATTGAACGTCCAAACGTAAGTTGGTCCACGACTTCTTGTTTTGTAAACTGGACATTCATACATATTTTTAAGATCTTGCTTATCTTGTGTTATTGCTCTAATGTATACTACAGGCATTAAAGGAAACAATTCTTTTAAACGTGCATCCGTGATTACACCTGTTTCAATATCCCAACGAGCACCTTCCATGTATAAACTATTAATGTAAGAACCTTCACGTGGTGGTGCGCTATGGAAAACAATTCAATCAAATATATACACAGCAGCAATAATATAAATGTGATTTTCTTACGTGACTTCCTCTTTTTGTTTTGTAGTTACTTCACAATGTAAACACATTTTATCCAAAGGCCATTCATTTTTACGTGCAGTTTGTTGCATGATTGCAGTAAGAAATGATTGAGGATTAAAAAATCCTCCTAGCCAAACTGATGAAGGAAGCTATTAGAAAATATTTCAATATTAATATGTAGAACTGAAACAATCATAAAATACAGTAAGAAGCAGTAGAAGAAAAAGTACTGAATGTACAATGCAACTCTGATGCAACCCTGATAAAAAAAAAAAAAAATATAAGATAAATGTTGTACATTAAAATCCGACGTCCAACTAGCAAGTTCTCCAACTCTGTTTAACATATCGGTAAACCAGCTGCTTAAACTAAGATTTGAAGGATAAGCTAATCTATTCCATAATGGTGGAACAGAATTAATAAATATATGATCTTGTAAGACTTCCATATCAGAGCTAATTGTAAGTTCACCCTGTAATAATGAAATGAAATGAAAGAGAAAATGATTGAAATTAATACTTTTAATTCAATTTTGATAAATACCTTTAATCCAAGTGTTAATTCTCCAAGAGATCTTTTTAATTCATTACACAATATATTCATTCGTTCACATTCTTGAAAAGAAACAATGACATATGGTGTAGGTTCTTCAACCTGGAAGATAAATGTCTATTTGAAAATAATTCTTAATATTGAAATATAAAATATAATTAAATGATTAATTTTCCTATTCACCCTGTCCATTAATTCTGGTATATTAAATTCTTCAGGAAGTCTATCCAATAAATCCTCTATAGTATATTTCACTTTATCTTCCATTGAAAAACCTCCTTCAGTGGTTTCAATAACATCTCTTGGTTGCATTTCTATAAGAGTTCTAAAAAGATTTTCTGCAGTTGCTGTTAAAAATCCTACGAAAGATTTGAAGTATTATTTTTTTAGTATATTCTCATTTTATAAATTTGATATATTATAATATTTAGTAATGAATATATACAAATATACCTATTTCAGCATTTGGATGAAGTCCATATAAAATAGGACTTTCAGCGGGTAAATAATCATCAATATATTGATGATATGCCATGTAATCACTATTAGGCGGTACTAAAAATCCTGGTGTTAAATACAACTCCCCTTCAATGAGTTCAGGTTGTAAATATTCTATAAGATATGTTTTACATAATCTTCTGTCCCAGTCATCAGTAATATGTCCACCATACATTATTTCACCAAATAAATATCTAAGATCTTCCCATGGTACTTTAACATTATTTTCTAAATAATTTAATAATACTGAAACGCTAATAGTCAAATCACCGACACTGAATGGGTAAGACTGAAATATGTAAAATAACGTCAATAGAACAATGAAGAAAAAGAAAAAATGTGAAAAATATATTTATTAAATATACTTTATTCCATCCTTGTGCGCCGAATTTTCTACGTTCGTTAATAACAGCATGATAGTAACATAAAGCAAATAAGATAGCTTTAAATTCTGTTTCTTTAGTACACGAGTCCAATGTTTCTTGTGAAAAATTATCTAATGCTTTATGTATATTAGCATGCATTCCTGTTGGAGGCTCATTTGTAATCTTAATAGCTGATTCTAATATACCCTGAACAGAAAATCCAAATGTATTAACAAACATATCATTGATATAAAATAAATATTTGTCAACTTGATAAATCACTTGTGGTATAATTGATTGAGAAGGATCAGGAGCAGGTTCAGCACTCATATATAGACGATAATTATCATGAGGATTTTCTGTAAGTTGTTCTATTTTTCTTTCTAATTTTGGTAACCAACTTTGTACAAGATGAATGTTTTGTAATATGACCCAGTGTCCTTCGGCTGCTGCAATATTCATAGCTTTTTCAGCGATAGGTTCTTGTCCTTGACCTAATGATACATTATGGAAATTTTGACCATCCATTGTAAATCCTAATTTTTGTCCTAGGTTTTCCACATCCTATGAACATTAATTTGTTTCTTATTGTTAGGATATAAATATTGTTTATATTGAATAAAACATATTACATCATACTTTTAATGGATCTACACCAGGAGAAAGGATGAAAAACACTGGTGTTATTGAACTTGTTTCCTCGTATGATTTTTCAAAAGGTAAAGCTCTGAATTGAACAAATTTTGGGCCTAATTTTTCTTCTACGAATAAACTGATATAAAAGATAAATAAAAATAAAAGTTGTCAAATGTGATTTAGTTTTTTAGAACTTTGTTGCATAAAAGATATGTGTATATATTAAAGACATAATCGTTTACCGTACAGCATAAGTCATACGATCCAATCTCATACATCTGATCATACATAATCTCTGTAATGCTGTTACATTTTTCCATTCCTGTGGAAAACGTTCTTTTTCTGGTGTTTCTGATTCAACAATTTTCTTCCATCGTTTAGATGCTCCTTCCATATCTCGATCTAAATGTTGAAATGCGTCCATTCCACTTAAATATACTATACCACCCCAATTCTTGTTATCCAAAAAGTCAACACGACTTCGAAGATAGGGAACATAAGGAAATCGTAAAATAAAATCTACTTCCACTAATGATATTTCTTTCATATGCAATAAAATCTATTATTTAAGAAAAATCATGATAATTAAGATAAATTGATAGAGTTTAGTTATATATAAATTACGATTATGTTTACTCACTTGTATTGTCATTTGAAAAAGAAATATAATTTTATCACTTTCAAATAATCCTCTACTAGTATACACATATACTAAATACGTTATACTCTGTATTAAATAGGAAACACGTTTTTCGACGCTGTCAGCTAATTCTGCAAACTTAATAGCATTTTCAAATACTATACTAAATGCTTTTAGGGAAAATTGATACAACATATTGATTTTATAAAGCTCATTTAAAATGAAATATAAAAGACTAGCTCTGGCAGCAACTGGACGATATAATTCTCTTGCCATATCTATTTTAATGGCAGTTTCTTTAGCTTCAGCTGCCTTAATTTCAATTTCAGCAGCTGTTCTTTTAGTCGTTTCAAGATTTACAACAAGAGTGATGTCACTTAAAATGTCAGGCCCAGCTGAAGATAATCTGATTAAATAATAAATGAAATATAAATATTTCTTTAAAAAAAAAAAAAAAAAAAAAAAAAACATGCACATACACACACACACGTAAATAAAATCTTTACCTATGTAACAAATCATCCTCCAATGCTTTCAATGTAATTTTAAATGTATTTTGTTGAGTAGTAAGTTCGCTTTTTGTACTTTCTAAATCTGGACGTTCAGCTTTGACTACTTCACCTAATAATTGTTCCTCCAAGCCATCTCTTGTAACAGTAAAATTAATAATCGTAGTTTGTGCTTGCATTTCTGGTTTATAATGTGGATTTGCCAATTTGGTTTGCAATATAAGTCTAAAATTTGGATCATAATCCACTTCTTTGTCTCCTATTTTTAAAGCCCTGAAAGAGAAAATCTTATGCTATGGAATTTTAAACTACGGTAGATATGGAAGGGGAGGTTTTTGCATACCGTCCTTTTCTGATAAGAACTCGAGCTAGAACTGGATCCAATACTGCATCAACTGTTTCCATAATATTTTCTAATAAAACAACTTGTCCATTACTAATAGCAAATTCAATCACATCCAAATAATTGCGTTGACTTAATCGCAATACTTTGAGCTCGTCACCATATTTATTCTTAATCCATTTGATTCCTTGTAATTGTGGATCAATCATTAATGGCCATCTACTTGAATTTGTAAGTATTGTCGCATTTTCTGCTGACATTTTGTCAGCAGGTAATCCTATTTAAAATATTTATATAGTACATTAATCATTAAGAAAAATTGTTATTATATATGCACAGAAATACCTTCATTGTTCCATTGAGCAATTTGAGTATCATCTGTTATTAATGATAATAAATCTAAATCAGGTGTTCGTGGAATACTGATTTCTAATTTATCAAAGTAAGGTAGCCAATGTATATTGAGTAAATCTAATCTGTATTTTCTCGTAAAACCACCCATATATGAAATAAATGCTGTTACAAGTAGGACATCACCGGGCACAGTAATTCCTGATCTTTTCAACCTTTATAATGATTGAAGAAATGATTTCATGGTAATATGTACAATAGTATATTACTCACATTTCTAAAGTTTCAGTCCAACGTATCTTTTCCGAAGCTAAACCATTAACTAATCTATTAGCAAGATCTATAGTTAAAGCTGTTGCATCTGCTTCGTCTTGACACTTTTGTTTTTCTGCCAATGCTATTTCCATTTTTTCACTAAGAACATCCAATACTTTTTGAAGTTCCTAAATTTATATACAATTATCATATAATGATATTAAATAACATTTGCTTGCTTTTTTTCTGTCTCTTAATAACTTACATTCAAACGACTTCTTAAATAATGTAATCTATCCATTGCAGCTTTGAGTTCGGCATTAGCTTGAGCAAGAGCAGCTCTCAAAGGTTTTACAGTTTCATTGATGTAATGAAACACCATTATATTTTTTACCCAACTGCATAAGCCTGCAGCTGCTTGAGATTTCGAATAAATGAGTTCTGGTTCAAATTCTATACGTTATAGAAAAAAAAAAAAGAATAATTTACATGTCTAAATATTAATTATAAATTTATAGTTGATTATTGTTCTATACCTCGGTCAGTGATATAAGGTTGAATAGCTCTAACAATTTCAGGATGAATATTTTCTTTATCATAATTATGCAGTGCTGTAAGAAATGCATCTACAGATCCCATCATTGCTTTACATGCTTTCCAACTTCTATCTTTAGGTATTTGACCTCTCGGTGCAAATAAAACTAATACTGCTTGTGCAACTTTTGTAACTGCTTCAGGTGGTGCACCAAAAGATTTCAACTCTGTCAAGTTACTCTGAAATTAATTGTCGTTTTATTTTTTTTTTATTAAAAATATCATTGTAATATGTGGATAATTTATTATATAATATTATAATAATATTATTTTTATTTGTTTTGTAATTATTTATTTAATAATTATAAAAATGCGCGCCTGTAGGAATGCAACCCTCCATACACAGTTTGAAAATGTTGCTTGCGAGCGCCATCTCGCGGGACGGGATTTTTTTGAAGCCCAAACTGTTTATACACTCATGTATTACGGGTTGCCTATCTTTCGGGCAGAAAAAAATTCCGTCTCGCGAGATGGCGCTCGCAAGCAACATTTTCAAACGGTGGATGGAGTGTTGCATACRAATAGGCGCAATATATATATATATATTAATAATTAATAATAAAAATGTAACTTTAATTTTGTAATACTAATAATAATATTAATATATTTACCTTATTCAAAGTATCTAATGCTGCTTCAGCTTGTTTCACAGCAGGTTCTGCTTTGGCTAAATCTTCATCGCAATATCTTTGTCTTTCAGCTACTGTCTCTTTTATTTCAGCCACTTTGACTTCCTCTTCAGACACTACAAATACAAAAATATATATTTACGATTAATTATTTAATGAAATATTAACGTGAATATAATTTGAATTTGTCTCTCACCAAAAGCTTTCTCAACTTCAGCTTTAGTGTTCTCCGCTTGTACTTCTTGTAAAATTTGATCAGCTATTTCATTCTTCTTTATTAAATCTATTTCTTGTACTGCAAGCACAGCTTTTAGTTTATCTACCTAAGGGATGATAAATATATAAGAATCGTATAAAAACAATTGAAAGAATATTCTTTTACTGATAGTTTCAATTGAATAAAATTACTTCTTCCGCACAGCTGTCCAACTTTTCCAAACCATTTTGAAGTCGTGTAATCATATTTTGAACTTCAAATGTTTTTTCTCTCAATAATTTCGAATATAAAGAAATTTGTTCCAAAAATGATTTGGGCGTTGTATAATTATACCTTTTCTCATTTTGTAGATACAATTTGGATGTTTCATTAACAATCGTATGTACAAAAGACATAAATAAGGAAGCAGACCTTTTATATTCTTGGGGTAATTCATTAAGCTCCTGTAAAAATCTGGCAGAAACAGATTGCAGTGCTTCTTGAGGCCAGTCTTGAAACCAATTAATTGACGTGCAATTAACAATAGCTGGAAATTGTCTAACTCTATTTCTTAAAGTTGCACCGACCGGTGAAAAGCAAAGTAAACATTTTAAAAATTTACGAACACGATCTATGAAAAATTTCCAACAATTCTCTTTGGAATCAACTTGTCCTGTTTGCCTTACCTAAGTACACGAACAAAACATTAACAATTAATCTTATAATATATATATAAAAAAAAAGTGAAAAATGATGATCTATTTAAACGATACCTCATTTCGTACGGCATTAATGATATTATCCATTTCATCGTCTGGAAACAATTCTAAAATTTCTCCAGATGCTAACATATCATTTATAACGACGAGAAATTTTTCTTGAGCAATTTGCGAATCGGTCATTAAAAAAGCAATGCCTATACTTTTAAGACCAGCTTTTAAGTAAAGTGCAGCTAAGTCGGATTTTAAATCAATTAGAGAATAATCTTTTGTTAATTGTATTTGAAATACCTACGTTTGAGAATAAAATTAGCATTGTTCACATTGTATTATTATTATTAATTTAAAACGTACCTCTAATGCTGATATAAATGCAGATAAACGTGATAAAGATTGTTTTCCACTACCTCCTACACCAACCAATAATCCATTTCCTCTTTGTGATTCTAATATTCTATTGATACGACATACATGATACATTGCATCGTCAAATAACACCAAGTTCATTGCCGATATCTGTTATGTAAATATACATATATATATATATATACTTAATAACAACAAAATTATATTTAATTAATAAATTATTCCATTACCAATTCATTATAACTCAATAATGCATCATCGAGTAATTTAATTAAGTGATTCCAATCTCTGATTGGCATATATTTAGACTCCCCAATTCCTTCAGCAAAATGACAGTATATTATAGGTTTAGCAAGTACTATCTTGTCATTAAATTCCTAAATATGATTTTCAATTAAATAAGAGCTGTTATGTTAAAGATTAGTAAAGAAAAGAAAATGAAATTTTAATTACTGGTATATTTTGACGAAGTACTTCTAACAACAATTGTTCAAACGTGTTCTTGTCTTCAAAATTAATTAATTTATCTGAATATACTCGCATTGATTCATGAACAAATAATCTTACGAGATAATTTGGCATTGGAATTGTATCGCCAGTAGAGAAAAGTATGCCCTGAAAAATACACAAATTAATTTATTTTATTATGAAAAGATACTCTGATTGATTGGTTGATTCCTTGATTGGTTGGTTGATTTTTACTTACTTGAAAAATATTTGATAAATCCCTTAAATTAAATATATAATGAAATTTGATAGCAGTTGGTAAAAATGTTGTTGCTACTTTAGTGTGAAGACTCAATGCTGCATTAATTATTGGCTCTGTCATTTTTTGAACAGCCACGTTGATTTTATTTTGTGGATTAGTTAGATGTTGTTCAAGCATTTGACTGTATATTGTTTCCAATGCATCACGATGCGGAAAACTATTAGCAATTTAATGCAATAGAAAAAGCTTATGGGAAATTTAATATATAAATATTAATAATAAGTATATTTATATTTTACCTAACAGCAAATACAGCAAAATGTCTTTGCAAACGTGGATCTATCGTGAAGCTCCCTACTGTTGGATTCATACACGAAACATATTGAGTATTGTGTATATCTTTTAATGTTAATTTCTCTCTGTCATACCTAAAGAAATGTATTATTATTATTATTATACCACATACTCTATTCAAATAATTTCCATGATTAATTTGATATAAATTTACCAATGTCCATAATCCATGTATTGTCTAATCAGTGAATGCGATTGTACAGTTCCATAAGTATCTATTTCTGGCATATTCATATCATCTATAAAATAAACTAAAAGTTTTGTACCAGGTGGACCATAATTTCGTCCAGCCTTCTTTTCCAGATGTTTCTCTAATATTCTTTGTAACATTTCTAAACAAAATATTTATCAAATTTACAGAATATTACATGCTCAAATTTTGGAAGATAACTTTTGTTGTGCAACATAACTTACCAGACGTCGTATAATAATTTAGAGAAACATTTGCCATATTATAATTATCTGGCAATGTTGCTAATTTTTCAGCAACAATGATACTCTTTCCAGATCCAGCACTTCCAACTAACATAACTGGTAATTTTTTTTTCATTAATATATCCATAAAAAAACGCAAACGCACAGTTTCCCCCGTAGATACAAGAGATGCCTGTGTAACATGGCATGTTTATCATGTTATGTATATATATATCGTAGTAAATGATATTTCTAAAATTTGATACACTACTTGAATAGGAATATCCATATCCAATTCAAAGGATGTTACTTTACTTTCCCATGGCAGCCACCTTTTCGTTTCTGTATCTATGAAATAGTGAAAGACAGTACCAGTTGAAGGAAACGTAACAGCTTTAAATTCATTTTGCCACCATTTACTAAATTCTTCTCGCCAATCTTTCAATTGATCTTCAAACATTGACGATCCAAATGCCCAAATGCAAGCAAACGCAAAATACAGCTCATACCTTTTTTATAAATTGCAAACACAAGATAAGAGAATTAAAATAGCATATAATTATTTGTAAAAATAATTCCAAGTTGTTTTTTTTTTTTTTTTACCATTCTCTAGGACATTCTGGAGGTACATTTTCTTTCACCAAGAAACAATCAAGTAAATTACAAAGCATTTGTAAATGGCATATGTCTGGTATAGGAGTCACTTTTTTAAACTTCAACTTCAACGTTTCTAATGAAATTGGAACATATTTGTCAAATAATATAGCTAAATTTGCTCGTTCTGAACTGTCTCTTGTATCTGTCCAACTCATAACGTATCTAAAAACAATAATCAATATTTAATATATATTTTAATATATATATTGAAAAATTACTTACGGATTCCAACCCAAATCTTGCGGATTTATATATAAGATACCTGCCCTAGATACAGTAGCTGGTGTTGCAGTTCTGCGATTAAACAATCATATAATATGATTATTTATTTGTATTAATTGATAATAGTATATTTAATTTTATTGATATTAAATATTACCTTAAATGTGATACTTCAAATAACAAACGCATATGTTTTGTTAATGCAATCCTTTCATTACTCGCTAATGTTAAAACTTTGTTATCATCCATTACAGTATTCAATGATTCAATCCACATGGGATCAATATCACCATCAAATACAATCCATTTAGGACCATCACCCGACATATTTGCTTGTTCTCTCATTATCATCGATATTAATCTACATAATATTAATATCATCAAATATAATTCTCTAATATAAATCACAAATAATAATGCAAAGAAACATTTTTAAACAAACCCATCCTTCCATTCCCTAGTTGATGGATTTATAGTACCAAACAATTCATCGGTAGTTACAGCTTTTGGACTCAAATCATTGTAATATGGTTTAAGTTTCTGATTATGATAAGTTTTGTATAAAGTTTTCCATACTTGTGTTTTACCTGTCCCAGCTAATCCTACAATAAAAACTGAATGTCGAACGTTGAAAAGTTCTTCTAATTGTACAACCTAGTAGTAAAAGAAATATTTTTTAAATCACATGTTTGTTTTATTCATAAAAAAAGAAAAAAAAACACTTATAAATGCCTGCGATTGTAATTTACTTTTAATATAAATCCATCTTCTGGTTGCATTTTCAAATCAACTGCAGCACCTCTTATTATTTGTTCAAAATCCGTATCTCGTAATCGTGGTACATCTAATGCTGGGAATAAGTCACCTGAAAAGTTTGAAACATTTTACAATGTTATTGTTAATATTTAAATTCAAATTCAGTTAATGAAAGGATTGTTACGTAATTTGTAATATTTACTTATCAAACCCATGAACACAGGGATATCATCAGTTATTACTTTTGGTGTATTAAAATCTCTGAGTGCTCTCATTAATACTTGATCTTCAGGTCTCAAACGATCATCGCGTTTCAATTTACCAGCTACAACTAGAACAGACTTAATAGCTCTTAAACCCCAATCGTAATGATCTTGTTTGGATAAAAGTTCTCGACACAACGTGTACAACGTTATGAATTTTCTAGCTAATAAACGGGCATCTAGAAATCCTTCAGCTACTAACATAATTTCGCATATAAGTTCAAAGTCAGGCACGACCATAGCACAAGGACTAGAAAATAAAAATATACTCTTTCTCTCTCTCTCTCTCTCTCTCTCTCGCTCTGTTTATTTTACACGTGATAAAAAATAAAATCCAATCTACGTAAAATAATTACCGAAACAAAGATTTTATATTTTCAGGTAATTCTGTTCTACCAGCGTAACCAGGATTCATTGTTATAAACATTCCGACCGAATTAACAAGAACCAATTCTTCTCCAAAGAAGAGAAATTTTGTTTTTTTAGCTTTAATGGCATCTAACACACATTTAACTTGTACTGCTACCACAGATAAAACTTCAATGGAAATCCTATTAAATTCATCAAAGCAACCCCATGCACCCGTTTGTGAGAGTCCTTTATAAATATTTCCACAAGACTATATAATATATACAATTTTGTATTCTTCCATATAGAAATGAATAGAATTATAATCACAATATTATGTTGTTACCTTATAATCCATCTGTTCTGAACAGTTAAAAACATAAACCATTTGACCCAATGCTCTTCCTAAATCTTTAGTCGTTTCCGTTTTCCCGGTACCAGCTGGTCCAGCTGGTGCTCCTCCCATTATTAAATGTAAAGATTGTGTTAAAGTTATGTAACATCTGTCTGTTAATGGTGTGATTACCAATCGTGGTACGTTACCCAAATATTCATATGCGTATAAAAAACAAGCGTCACAAATATTCGCATAACAATCTTCTTTGCTATCATCCCATCTGCAATGGGAAAAAATTCATATTATTTTAAATACCTGTAAAAGTATATTTAATTATTTGTACGAAAAGAAATGTACCTGTGTCTTAATTGTGATTGCCATTGAAAATTGGATGCATTATCTGCTTTCATGGATATTAATTTGGCAACGACATCCCTAGCGTGCACATCTATCGTACAAATGGTCATAATTTTCTGTCGATCGCTTTCATTAAGTTCTCCACATAAAATTGTAATCAAAACTTGAAGTTGATTTATTTGTTTCTTCAAGTAATCTCTAAGAGCATGTTCAAATCCTTCTTCTAATCTAGCAAATGCCATATTTACTTCAGTAGTCCACCATATTTGAGTACCGCATAACGATGGTTGTGCTTTATAATCCATAATCCATTGTTCACGTGGCTTTTCGTCGTAAGAAATAACAGCTTGCTGTATATGATATCTGACAGATCTTTTCATTGCATCCGTAACATGATTTAACCAAATTTCAACCTTTCCACTACAATCACAATCTCCATGTATAGGCATTTCTTCACCATCCTTTGCTATCATGACATTAGCCATTTTCGTTGTTTTGCCTTGTTCTATTTTCCATTTAAGTGAAGCAATAGAATCGTATAACTTTGCTAAATGTTTACAAACTAATTCTGGATTGCTACTATTGCTAAGTATGTCCAAAAGATCTGCAGAGGATACAAAATAAAATCTAGGATAAGCAAGCCTTTTCGTTTCAAGATAATGGAATAATGCATTTTCACAAATATTTAAGTCTTTTTCTAATTGTTCTAAACGTTCAAGAAGTTTAGGTTTGTTAGTTGCTCTTACAATGTTCAATGTACTTAACATTTCTTTTAAAAGATCTTTAAAATCTTTATCTATCTTCTCAAAAAGTTTCGATTCTTCAGGCAGCTGATTTCTAATGTCTTCCGAGCCTATAAAAATACTTTCTAAATTCATCCATGCACGTTGAACATCAAACCATGCGGTTATCACAGCATCTGCATTGTTTAGTTTTAACTGCCAATCTAAAACTTCGTCAAGAAAGTAAGCCACATATTTAGAACCCAACATGTTTTGTAATTGAACCTGATTTTCTTCTAGTATATCTATTGTCTCTTCCTCAATTCTTAATACGTAAAGTTTAGTTCGTTCGTGTAAATCTTTATCAAATTCTAGGGTAGCCCATGTATTGTTTAATTCTTTCAATATTTTTTCCATTGCCATTTCTTTAACAGCTTTATCTACAATCTCTTTAACTTCTTCTTCGTACTTATGAAGTTCCAACTTAATCAAATCTTCTAATGTTGTTTTGTCATCCATGGTAAATCTTACTTGAGTTTCAGCCATTAATTGTAACCAATGTCTGTCTCTAATGGCAGTATTCTTTAATTCCGATACAGCTCTTAACGATGACATCATATTTTTCACTTGTCCTTCTATTTGTATGTATAAATTCCAATTTCTCGTATCCTTATCCATTTGTCTAAGCTCTCGAATAAATTTTTTACACTCAATATCCGTTCCTTCCACGTCAATTTTTTTCCATATCGTTTTTTTCCATTCATCTAAACTTGTTCGAATAATATTTATATAATCCCATAACATTTTAACAAGTTTTAATTCTCTTCTAGCTTGAACGATATGCTTAAATTCTTCTACGTGATATTCAAAAATGTTCGCTGTGACTTTCAGATTATTCAATTCATCTTCAAATTTATTGATTTCTACATTGATGTTATCTAATTTTTCGTAGACATTTGTACAATCGAAATTGAATACTTCATTCGTATAAAAATCAGATAGAAACTTTTTCTCTCTAAAGTCGTAATAATTTAAACGTTTATTCAATAAATTGATTTGATGAGACATCAATGGTCCAACAACTTGTTTTATTTGTGCAGCTTGTTTTTTAACCATTGTCCATAATTCTGGTAATTCGACTAGCCAATCAAACGTTTCTTCACCAAATTGAACTTGATATTCTTTAAGAAGTTCTATGGTCTCTTTAATAGGCTCAAACATATCGTCAATTTCAAATTGTCGATCTCTGACCTCTTTAAGAAAATATATTGTTTTTAATAAATCTTCGTAATCATCTTCTTTAACAGGTTGAGCAAATTTGTTGCTAGCTTTGTTCAAAAATATCGACAAATTTTTCAGATCATCCGTAACTCCATCCATAAGATGATTTTTCAACACGTTAGCCCATTTACAAATGAGATTAAGAAGATTTTGTTTAAAGGGTTTTAAATCAATTCTAAGCCAACACAATAAAACGCATTCGTCATTTATTTTATCGCACTCTTTATAAAGATCCATGAAGAAATCTATTTCTCTTTTGTAATCCTCTAACTTGGGTGTCCTTTCTTTTAAAGTATCTGGTAAATTGTTTGGTGATCGACTGACTATATCTTTTTCTTGTTTGCTTAGTTTACGTCCAAAGCGTAAAAATAAATCCAAGTATTCTTTTTTGTCATCTAACCAGAGCCAAGATAGAGGTTTGAACGTTTGGAGATATTCTTCCGCTTGAAACAAACCCAATTTGATTCTATTGGATGTTTCTTCTAACATAAAAGTTATATTTTCTTCTTCTGTCATGTCTATTCCATAGTGCTGACGTTCTTCGGCAATATCAGGATCTACACGTTTAATTAATGTACTCATTTTCATGATATCTAATAAAAGATCTTCATAAAAAGCGTAAAAACCATTAGGATCATCGATATCAATAGAGGGTTGAAATATCAAATTGGAATTATCTAGAGATAGTTGAATTTCAAATAGTGGCCAAGCAGTGCACTCGGGATCAGTTTCATCAAGAATATAACATAAGCTTGTAGAAACTGTTTGAACCAAACCTTCGTATATTAAATTATCAATATATGAGAGATATGGTTTCCATCTGATAAAACGCTGAGCTTCAAGTTCTGCTTGTAATGCAGCTTCTTCTTCCGTCAATTCAATACCTAATTCAATTTCAGATTGTTCAACTTCCATACCATCGATGAGTTCTTCTTCTTCTGTTAAATCTGTAGTTTCATCTGCATTCATTCTCCTGGTTTCAGGAAGTTCTTCAATTGGTAAATTCTCCGCTCTATCTTCTTGTTCATCTGCATTGAAGAAGTCTGTTTCATTTTCTTCGTATGTAGATTCGGGCATTAAATCGAATAAAAGATTATAATTTTCTTTCAAGACACGATTTAACTCTTTAACAACGAGTTCTATTTCTTCGTATCTTTTAGCAAAATGTTCTTCGCGTTCTCCGATCGCTAAAAGATTGTCTTCTTTTAAATCTTTCCTTTCAAGGACTGGCACCAATGCCCAAGAATAAATCATTTTTAAAAGACCATTTATATTTTCCTGAACTTTGAATATTCGAATATACAATTTCCGTGTTACATTTAATAATTGTTCTACGTATTCTGGCACTTCTATAATCATAAATTCAATGTAATATTAAGAGTTATGAGGGATGATTTTTACGTTGACTCTCGAATCTCTCTCTCAATATATTACCTATCGAATTCCAATTATAATTTAATTGACCAAATTCTATTAATTTTTCTATTTCTTCTACTTCATCCTTGACCAACTGATATTCAACGGGTGAAGTATTTTTTTGTAACCAGTTATACCTTTAATAAAAGGACAGTATTAGAAAATAACATTATCTTAATATGTAATTTAATATACGCTTTTGTTGTTTTTGTTTTGTTTTGTTTTGTTTTATGTGTATACGTATGTACCAATTGAGAATTAAATTCAAATTGCAAGTGGTTTCAAAAAAAAATGTACTCCTATTATACAGCTCGATAGCTTCTTCAGGTACATCTGATTTCTTCATTATAACAATATCACGTATTTCTTGTATTACTGCCGTCAATTCAGGATCAAAATTTAATTCTAATAAATTTTTGCTACTAATTTTCAATAAAGGTTTCAATAAATATTTTTCGTATCTTTCTGGAATTTTGCTAGTCCATTTTAGAAAGATTTCACGCTCCAAATTATCTATGAGAACCTTAAAAAACACAAAAAACCTAATTGCCGGGACATCGAGTTTTTATTAAGCTTATTAACAACAGTTGTCATTATACCTTAAGTTCATTATATTTTTCCCTTATATCGAAGTTTATCTTGGACATTATTAATGGATGATCTACTAATGCTGCACATTCTATGGGATAATTTATTTGTTGTTTCAAATTATTTAAAAATGATAAAGACTCTGACACGGAATGTAAATTCTTATTAGCGATATTATTTTCTGATTCTGTAGTTATATTAAAGTAATTATCTGTTATGATCTACATTGAAATATAAAATACAGTATATACATTTTTTAGTATTTATAAAACTAAAATACTAACTAAATATTGATTGAAATAATACCTTAATATTGTCATATTCATCATTTATTATTTCAACTAATCTATTATAATTATGCCATAATTGTTCCATTAAAATCGGCCGATTAGCGATAGTTCCTATTATCCATATGAATCTGAACATAGATTCTACATCATAACACTCCATAAATGCTTCATTGAATATGTTGACCAATTTTCTATCCATAATTTCTATCTAAAACGTATGAAAAATGTTGCAAGAATTTGATTACTTGTCAAAATGTGAATAATTGAAAAATAAGTAAGAAATTTACATTAGCTTTAAATTTAGACCAATCATTATTAAAACCCATATCTTCCGGTATTAAAACATTATAATGAACATCAGCAAATTGACGATACATTTTAACAAAATTTTCATAAATTTCAGATATCATACTGTATAATAGGTTTCCTTTTAATCCAGCTATTTCTACTCTTTCTAATTTCAGATATTCTTGTACTATCTCAAAGAAATCCTCCAATAAAAAGTATCATTAAATATAATATTATATATTTAGGCGCGTTTTAAAAAGTACATTTTGTATTTGTGATCATTCAATAAATTACCTGTAATTCATTTAAACGTTGATCAAATTTACGCACTCTTGAAAATATTAATTTATCGTCAAAATTCCATAAGACTGGTTCATTTGGTGGTTTAAAATAATTTTCTATTTTATCACGAAAGATTAGAAATAAATCTTGATAATAAATCATAATCATTTTTGTTTGTCCCAAACGTTTTAAATTGTCTTCAACGTCACCCTCAAATAAAGAACTTTGATCCAAATATTTATCAGCCTAAAAAAAGATAAATACAAATTTTCTTTACCATTTTATATTATACTTAAATTAAATGTCCAAATTTATGAATATTAAAATAAAGTATATACCTCAGCTATCAATAAATTAGAAATCATTGATAATAATCGAATAATACGTGTAGTAGTGCAGTAATATTTCGAATGTGACCATAACAAACAAACACAATGCATTAATGGCTTTAATAATGGTTGAATATCATTAAATTCTGTACTCTGTATTTTATCAAAATAATATTGAAGTGGTTTTAAATGCACCCATATATCACGCGCTTCAACTATAGCTGAAATAAATTGAAAAAAAAAAAAAAAAAAAGTCTTATTGAACATACAATCTTAGAACATTTTAACTGTAGTTGCTATACATCATTTAATGAACTCACCAGAGATAACATTTTCACAAATATTATTAAAATAATTGTAATATGGACTTTCTATTAATTCAAGTATAGAACCAATTCTTTTAACTCGTGGGTCATTTATCTGTTGATAGATGGATTCTAAATTTTTCATTCTTTTAGACCAAAATTCCAACTCTAAAAATTCACAAACATTAACATTGTTAAAAAGAAAATATTCGAAATTTGAATGAGGATTTTTTAAAGCGTACCATCGTTAGGCAACAGATAATCTGAACTTAAAAATATTTTTTCATCATGAAGGATTTCGTTGATTTGTGAAGTCCACTTATTAATAATACTTTCAATATTACTTCTTAACTTGACATTAAATTGTGAATCATCTCTTTCTTGTTGTTTCCATCCTTCTTCAAATATTTGTTCTATATCAATTGGAATTGCCAATATTGTTTCGCCAAACATTTTTCCTTTTATCTAAAAGACAATAATTATGGATAGCAACAATATTACTACAATATTACAAATTCTTTTGAAAATGAATATTATTTATACGAATACAATGTACTTGATGAAATAAACTACGAAGATCATAAATATGTTTCTTCACATCTTCTTTAGCAACAAGAGGCCATCCTGTCTGATTAGCTGGATTTGTTAAAATTGGTAAATAAACCTATATAAACATAAATAAATATATTAATATATGGATAAGACAAGATACAATTATTATTAACAAATAAATACTTCTTCTATCAAAGTTGCTGCTTCTTCTATAGGTTTTGGTGCCATGTCACCAAGAATAATCATCTTTCTATAATTATCTTTAGTAATTTTAACAGGTTCACGTTTAATAAAATACGAAGATTTAACTCGACTGCTCAGTTGAATTCCAAGAGATGGTATAATAGCACCAGTTGGCAAAAGTTGTATCGTTAACATCATCTCAGATGGTATATTGAAGAATTTCAAAATTAAAGTCTAAATAAATGAAACACACAAATAATGAAATTAATACAAATATACATGGATAATTGATAATGAGAATATTTTTGCATGTGTATATAATAGATACATACATAGAGATTGTTTCTATTCTATTCTAATATGTAATTCTTTTACATATTTTTTAATTAATTATGACTTAACTTTAAGATCTTCGCTTCCTAATAACTTCATCCATGCTTCGTATTTGATTTTTCTTGAAAGTACTAAATATTTATATAAAAAATCAAATAACTCTTCTTCCTCCTGCTTCTTCAAATCATCCTTTTTACCACTCATATTTGTTAATATCACCAAGATATTGTTTAAATATGATTAACTTTCATTTTTTAACTTAAGTAATACTATGAAGTTGTAAAAAAGTTAAATGTGAAGTTGACCAATAAATAACGCTAATAAAGTCTACTCGATATAACTCGTAATAATATTTCAAATGACAATTTTAAAAGATTATTCATTTTCATTTTGAAAATCCCTCTTAAATATTCGCTCGTTTGTCATTGGTCAATTTTACTTAAAGTTCAAATAGGCAGATGGCGTGCTGGTCATCGCAATTTCTTATCAACATAACCTTGAATCAGAGATTGATAAAGAAATAAATGTGCAACTAAGGAAATTTATTATTTATAACAAAAAGGTGTATATATAAAAGTACAAAATGACACGCATAGTATTTTTACATCCAGATCTTGGAATCGGTGGAGCCGAGAGGTTAGTAGTTGATGCTGCTTTAGCATTAAAGAAAAATGGTCATGACGTTTCTTTCGTGACAACTCATCATGATCCGGATCACTGTTTTCTTGAAACGAAAGATGGTACAATTCCCGTTACAGTTGTTGGTAACTGGTTACCGAGACATATTCTAGGTAAATTTTTTGCATTATGCGCTTACATTCGAATGGTAAGTTCAAATAAATATATTTCTTTTAATTTCTAATATCAAATTATATTATAATTGATATCATTGTTCCAGATGTATGCAGCAACCTATATAATATTTTTAAGAAACCGTCCAGACTTAGTATTTTGTGATTTAGTTTCGGTATGTATTCCCATTCTTCGACTATACATTCCTCATATTGTGTTTTATTGTCATCATCCGGATCAATTGCTTTCTACTCCTGGCAGTTATTCCAAAGCGTTGTATCGTATACCTCTAAATTATTTAGAAGAGATTACAACTGGAATGGCTCATAAAATTTTTGTAAATAGCAAATATACACGTAACGTATTTAAATCAACGTTTAAGAAGTTACATGTTCAACCAGAAGTCCTGTATCCTTCTATCAATACAGACTTCTTTGACAAAACAAGAATAGTAGTATTAGAAAGAATATTGGATAGGAAATTGCCAGATGATAGTGTCATTCTCTTATCAATTAACAGATATGAGAGAAAGAAAAATTTATCTCTGGCAATAGAAACCCTTGCTTATCTTAAAAAGTCTGTAACTGAAGAAGAATACAAACGATTGTATTTAATTATGGCTGGTGGATATGATAAAAGAGTTGAGGAGAACGTCGAACATTATTTAGAATTAATACAACTTTCAGATGAATTACATGTTACGGATAAAGTTATCTTCTTACGTTCTCCTTCTGACATTTATAAAGTTTCTCTCTTAAAACACTGTGATATTTTGATATACACTCCGCAAAATGAACATTTTGGTATTGTTCCATTAGAAGCTATGTATAATGGTAAACCTGTAATTGCTCATAATTCTGGTGGTCCTATGGAATCAATTATTGACAAAGTTACTGGGTATTTAGTTGATGGTTCTAGTAAAGAATTTGCTGAAAAAATTAAAATATTAATAAACAATCCGTCTCTCATAGAAAAATATGGAAAAGCTGGTAGAGAACGGTTTCTTGAAACATTTAGCTTTACAGCATTTAGCAATCAGTTGAATAAAGCAATAGACGAACTAATTAACTGTAAGAAAGATTAATATGATTATCTATTTTCGACTACTATACTTTTTTTTTTTTTTTTTTTAAATAGATACGTTATTCATTACGATTAGACATTTAAAAAATATAATATATATTTATAAAGTAAAAGTTTCAATTATTTTATTCTCAAGAGAGAGGAGTAAGGGAAACTTAATCTATATATCCAATTAAATCTATTAAATTAAATGTTTTTACTATTTTCAGAACTCTATTATAAGACTGAATATGGTACTTCAAATTATAGATTATAAGTTTCTTAAGAATTTTATATATATATATATATATATATATATTATTTATGCAAGATGTGCTAAAGTTGTTAAATGTTTAATTTATAAAAAGTTACAATAAATAATTTCTATATGCATTGTATTTTTTTTTAACAAAGTATAAGAAAAACTTGTTATTGGATCTTACGATTTAGAATTAATCTACGGATAAGAATTGATTTTAAAAGATAAATTAAACATTTGTTGTAACGTATATTATATACAAATATATTTTATATGATTTTCATTATCTTTCTTATTCAAAACATATAAAAAAAAAAAAACAATACTAAGTGATAAAAGTTTGCTGAGAATATTACAAACTTCGACAAGAAAGAATTAATAATACAATATAAATTATAATAATTTCTATGTGTAATATTTTTTATTATTAATCCATTAATTGCAAACTGTCCAATTTTTCACTAGAATAAAAACCTGCCTTAACTTGTCTACCTCCGAAGAATCGTCCGTTTAAATCAACGACAGCTTTAATAGCACTTTCTATTCTTTTAAATTCAACGAAAATACGAACTGCATCTTCCGGAGTTGCATCAATAACTTCGTGAATAATCACACGCGCTACATCACCGTATTTTGTATTACATTCATCTTTCACTTCTGGTTCCAAATCTTCGTCCACTTCTCCTGGTCCAACCATGTTACGTAGCAAGACAACCTGAAATAATAATATATATTTTTATTAAGAGTAACAAGAAGAAAGGATAAATTGAATTACCTTGCTTGGTGATTTCATGATTTCCGTAATACTTGGTTCCTCTTGCGAAGTTTGTGCTTGTGCTGTCTGTTGTAGAAGTGGTGGAGACATAGAAACTGGAGGTGGTGGAGGCATAAGTTGTTCTCTTTCCCCAACGATTCTACCACCTCTTTTACTTGTCTTTTCTACTTGTAATGCTACAGACATGCCCTGTTCTTTTTTACCAAGACCTTGTCCTTCTTTAAAACCATATTTAGCCATTATTTTAGCTGCGACAGACGATGTGGCATAACCCAAATTAGAAGATTGTCTTTGCGATGGAGAAGTTGGAGGAAGTTCGGTACATTCTTGTAATGATGGTGGTGGTGCTATAGCAGCACCACCAACTATACCCCTGGATGTTGGAGTACGTTCCTCATCTCTTTCTGGAGGTACCAAAGTACTATTTCCTGTTGCCTAAAATAATCATTGTAAATGTTACAAAATGATAGATAACATTTGATCTAATGTTTGTACAATTTCATTGTTACTTGAGTATCCTCAAAACGTGTATTATCACGCCTTCTTTTTCGCATTTCAGTTTCTTGATCATGCTCTCTATCTCGAATATCACGTAACTCTTTAACGACTTTTTCATATTCATTTGGCCACATAGGATCATATTCATTGATAACATTCCAATCAAATTCACTACCAATTCCAATATTACTTGTATTATTATTTGTTAATGGATTGTTAGGTAAATTTTCATCATCCTTCTCAATATCTCTAGTTTTAGATTTCAAATCAATAACTGGTGCTAATACAGCAGTTGCCTTTCTATATTGTTCACGTTTTGGCTACAAATATAATGACATAATAACATAATAAATATTTTCATGAATTTTACATATGTGTATGAATTTCCTATTCATCACCTGTGTAGTTGCTGCTTTTTTTAATTGAAGTTGTGATTGCAACAATTTAATACCGGACGACCATCCAGCAACTTTGTCCGAAGTTCGATGTTTATCAAAATCATCGTACAGAGACATTGTTTAATTATTATGTTTTTATCTATAATTTATAATAATAATTTATACGACACTAATCACACATTACAAATATACGCATAACGACATAATTTTTGACTTCATCGAAAGGGTGTGTTTTATAACCTTTTTTTTTTTTTATATTTATAAAGCAACAATTTAGAAATCACTTGAATCTAAACTCAACAATGTAAAGATATTCCGTGACTTATAAATTTAACGTTTCAGATATTCATAATTCGGTTTCAAGATGATGCCAAACATAACCCTGACAAAACATTCGACTTTTTGTAGTTTTGCATTTTTCAAACCAGATAGCGCATTGATGCAGTTGTATATCGAAATATTGTGTGCTATCGATCTTTTTATTATCGTGATTCAATGACATATGGATGAAAAAACGTGTATGTTTTGTTTACTTTTTAATACTTTAAATAAATGTTCCTACGAGGTATTAAATTATTCAAAATGTATTGTAAATGGAAACCATCTTATATTAGTTGCCATGGTGAATCTAATTGTTTATTTAAATCAGTTGCATTGAGTTATAAAAGTCTTTTACAAAATATTAATTTATCATTTCAATACATACCATTATGTATATCTAGTTGCAAATTACTTTTATAATAAATAATAATATTTATTACAGTAAGTCCATTGCAACGCACGATGAGTACTTATAACAAAAATAATCACATGGTTTGGATAGATATGGAGGTACTTATATAATTTGTATAATTTATAGTTACATATTTGTAATCAGTTGACTTTTTCCTTCAGATGACAGGATTGGATATTGAAAAGTGTCACATTTTAGAAATCACTTGTTTAATTACCGATAGTAATTTAAAAATCATAAGTGATCAATTGAATATTGTAATAAATCAACCCGATTCTATTTTAAATACTATGGGTGATTGGTGTAAAGAACATCATGAAAAGGTAAATTGTTTATTTATATTTTCAATGAATATATTATACCAATCGTGTGTTTTGTATTTTGTTTTAGTCAAAATTAATTGATGATGTTCGTAATAGTAAAATTTCGTTGAAAGATGCGGAAGAATCTGTATTAAAATTTTTAAAAAGTTACGTTCCAAAAGGCAAATGTCCTTTGGTTGGTAATTCTGTTTACATGGACCGTTTATTTTTATTAAAATACATGCCATTAGTGCACGATTATTTGCATTATAGAATTATAGATGTTAGCACCATTAAAGAACTTGCGAGGTATGTGAAATTTAAATATATTAAATGTATATAAAAGGAATGTTTGAGATTTTTATCGGCCAAACGATGTTGTATATAGAAAATAATCTTTATATACAAATATATATATATATATTTTACAGGAGATGGAATTTGCAAATATATCATTCTGCTCCTCCAAAAACATGTCAGCACCGAGCAACTGCTGATATTTTAGAAAGTATCAAAGAATTGGAACATTATAAAAATTGTATATTTACGCCAGATAATTCTTAGGAGGTAATTTATTTTTATAAAACAAGTACACAAATACATAATATTTAAAATTGAATATTTTACAATATTTCCATGGATAAATTTTGGGATTTTTATTTACATTCCCTACACCGGGCAAATCCAATGCACTACTACTCTATTGATTAAACTCTTTTAAAAATATCTTAAATTAATAACAATTGTCTCGAAACATTTAATTATATTATTATTAATATTATTATTTTATAGTTTCTTACTAGATTGGTGGTAGGTATTGATTTATTGACGATGGAAGATTACTTTTCCTATAATCGTAAGAATCATCTTTTGTGTTAAACGTAGGAAAAGATAGATTTTGTTCTTTGTAATTGATCATTTTTTTTAACCACTCATTATCGATAGGCGTAAATATTGCAATCTGTAGAAAAACAAACAAACAAAAAAAAAAGAACAATGGAATTACAAATAAATTTAGCAATAACTAAATGTATATTTAATTATAAAGAAAGTCTAATATAGTTTTACCTGATGCGTGGGAGAACAACCATTATCCTGACTGTAAAGTCCAGCAAATTCGTAGATTCCGTCTTCTCTTTGACAAGCTAATGGTCCACCAATTTCAGTTTGACACATATTGTAATTAATATTATGCGATTTAGCGCATATAGTTCCGTATTCTATATTTATGTTATATTGTTGTCCAGATGCATGTTGCATGCATGCATCGAGTGGTAAAACGTCAACGTCAAGACTATTCATAATGGCACCAAGTGCGTGTACTAAATTAAAGTAAAATCTTCTCTTAGTAAAAGTTTTATTTAAATATTATTTCAAAAATGTAAATATTTCTTACCTTTAATTACTGCTTGACCCCATCCCGTTACAATGCATTTATTTAATGGTTGAGTTGTAATCGAATTCGGTAAACACAATGGATTCACGTGTCTATCGTATGTTATAGCATGTTGTAAGTAAAGAACAGCCATATCATTTACAGAAGATCCAAGCACATAATTTGGATGAATGACAATAGATGATACGTTAGTTATTTCAAATGGAAGTGGTTCTTCCTGTTCAAGTTCATATCCTAATTTCCATTCTCCAGACTTTACTGAAATTTCTTCCGGTGTAATTCTGAAATATCAAAATGATAATAAAACTATTCACTGATTTCCCTTTTCATGTAGTTAAGAAAAAAAAGAAGTACAAATTTTACCCATTAACACAATAAGCTGTTGTTACAACAATGTCTGGTGCTAATATTACTCCAGAGCATAATATACTGCGTTGTTTATTCGATAATATCATTGCTTGCCATGGAATTTCAGCAAAAGATGTTACAGGCTTGTCTAATTCATCTGTATGTAGAACCTATGGAAAAATATTTGAATTTATTATATGCATATACCATAATTTCACATTGAAAATATGAATAAACATAATATATAATATACATACACCATTTCGTATTCCACATTGGTTGGGTAAACGTTGAAGAGGAATCACTACAGAGTCTTGTTTGCTAGATGCAGTATTATAATTATTTTTAGTAAATGGCCTTGGTACGATAGGTGTTTCGTTCGGTATCAATGGATATTGTGGAGGATAGAATGGTCCAGTGACTTGTTTTGGTATTTGAATAGAAGAATCAGGAACTTCATAATTATTTTCGTTTGGTTGCGTGGGTAGTGTCGGGACGGGTGATGTAATAGGAATAACTGGTTCATTGTTAAATGCAGGTAGTTTCACCGGTGACTTAACACTTGGTGACGTTTTTACGCCACTAGTTGGCTTCTTTGGTGCTCGTACTTTTGCTATATTTAAAAATGTTGGAAATCCTTGTTCATCAAAACCACCGGAATAATTAGCTGGTAAATTACCCGTTGGCCATGGGTCTACGTAATTTGGATCGCGACAGCATTTTCCAATAACTCCACTGTCAGGATTCTTACAACTCTATTAATGACAGATAGAAATTAAATAATAATTATTCAATTATTTCAAATCTTCATATATACTTGATGACCCGTACACTTGATATACACAATTGACAACTTACACTCAATGGAACACGCTGTAGAGCATCTTTTTCTGTAAATGTGATAGGTTGTGTACTGATTACTCCTTCCTTAGTACAATATTGTTCTTCCACACAAAGCAAAGCCGCTGCACATCCTAATTGTACCGGTGGTTTAAATTCAGGAAATCTTGAACTTGGTAAATTTGATGATGGCTGTGAACCTGTATCACTACCTCCTTCAGCTAAACAATTGATTAATAAATATCATTTTTCGTAATATAAATCAGATATCTATACTGATATATACAGTTACCTTTAGCAAATACTTGATTCAAATTAGTCCCAGAACTTATTGATAATTGTGGAGATATCGTAACACTTGAATCCAGATCTGTACCTTCATTAAAATCAGTAACTTGTTGTTGTACTGCAATTTGTTCGACACCACTATTTATCGTTGATTTTACATCCTGAGATGGACTCAAATCAACCAAAATGTTTTGTTGATCTACTTGTTCTGGACGAATTTGTACTTGACTGTCAGTTATGGGATTAGAATCATAGTAATCATTTTGTTTCAATAAAGAAACACTTGAGTCATCAACATCGGATGATGATTGTTCGTAATAATCTTTTACGGTACAACATATTTCGTATTTCAGATTGCATTGTTGAATCTAAATGGAATAAAAAATAGAAAAATGATTGATTATATTTTCTTCGTGTTCTGCAGATTTACTGAATGATCCAAAAATTCCTATAGTACCTGTTCTTTATCGCGAATGAATTCTTTTTGTACAGAAGAAACGTATCCACCAATACAAAGATTTTTATTCACGCAGAGTTTATTATCTCCGTTACAAGACAAAGTTAATCCCTCGTCGGATATTTCTTCTTGTTTTACATTTGATTGAGAATATGTAATGAAATCTGACACGTCTGTGTTTTGAGATATCGAACCAGAATATAGGTCTGATTGACTGATATACAGTGCTGCATAAATAAATAAAATAATAAATGATAATTATTAATTGAAACATTTTCATATAATGAAACAAACTTACGTTGATTTAATTGATTCCATTGAGTACCAAATTCAGCAGATTGTTGTTCTCGCAAAAATTGTGGCGAAGTATTGGAAAAACTACTATCTTGTTGTTGATCTTGTTTATTATCGTACCAAGATGATTGTTCTAATAACGAATATCAAGATTTGATTGAAATAATCATTGATTTCTGTTATAAAAAATGCAATTAAGTTTAATAATACTCACGAGATGTATAATAATCTGGAATTTGGTTGTAAGGAAGCCCATTAGTATATGCATTAAATATTAATGCAATTAGAAGCGTCCGTAATGGTGTTCTCATTTTAAGAGCTTTTAAAAGAGATTTAAAAAAAAATGTATTATCAAAGTAATCTTACTCTTTAGTTTAATTATTAAATAAATAAAAATAATTTGTGCAAAGTAAAAAATGGAACGAAATGGAATAAATGTAAGCGAAAGTCATAAAACCTAATGGATGGTGAATACGAACGAGAAGAAAGGAGATCGACGACTTAATAGAAATAAATTTCATATAAAGGCACGGAAAGCTATTAGATATATTTGCATATTAAATTAAACTCGTATATAATTATTATGAATGATCGATACGATCTCGTGTTCATCAGATAGAAATAAATAATGTATCAATGTAATTAATAATAATTAGATTCTTGTTGGAATGAAGTTGGTGTTGAAAAAGAAACAAAAATTAATAATAAAAAAAAGAAAAAAAGAAGAAAACATCATCGAAATCAAAAAAAGATATATCGCATCATCGAGATTCATTTTATAACAAGGAGAAAAGGTCTTTTAGATATGGAGAAACTTGTCCCGCCACTCTCTCGTCGAAGATGTGAAGATTTTTTTTTTATTTAATTTTATTCCGATGAAATATGTGTCGCGTTAATACTATCGATTAGATACTACGATCGTAGACACATTTCGTTATTGATACTTTTCGTCGTCTCTTTTTTTTTTTTTTCCCCCCCCCCTTTAAAATCAAATTCTAATCCTATTATTCGTGTTCCACTCGCGAGGTGTGCATTGCTATTGAATATTAATCATTAAATTTTGGAAATTTCTTTTAACGAATTAATTGTAACGCGAATTCTTTCGTCAACGTGTGTGCGTGCGCGCGTGCGTGTATACATACATATATCGAAATTTATAATTAATCGTAGAAATATTTAAAATTCGCTTGATTACCACAAAATTTGTGTCAAATAACAAGAAGAAGAAGAAGAAGAAGAAGAAGCCAGTAGTAGGACAGTCGTCTCCTTTCTACGTATATGAGAATTAATTAGTAAGTAAATGTATCTTTTTTTTTCTTTTCTCGTAAAACTTGATGAGAAATTTAATCAACGAAATTAAAAAACCCCAAAGTGAAATCCGTGAAAGAAAGCAATAAAATGTCTTGAAGTCAGCGCGGGAGAACAGACATCTCTCCTTTTAACTTTGAAATATTTTTCGGTTCACGTTTGCACTTAAACGTTAAATATTTTTCATCATCTACATGATTCTTTCTCGATGATAATATTTGATTATTTTTTGATTATTTTTCTCTCTCTTTCTGTCATATCTTTCCCTTTCTTTTCTTTTCTTGTCTTTTTGTTTTTGTGTCTCTTTTAACTCAGTTGGGATGTCACTTCGTAATACGAAGCACGTTGTTAGTTAGACTCACTTTCACTGCTTTTCAAGGCGGTCGATTTTGTATGCGTCATTTCGTCTAGATGTTTTTGACAGGATGAATTCTCATGCACGCTTGACGCAACTTTTTTGTACGAGATGGAACCTCTTCTTCTTCTTCTTCTTCTTCTTCTTCTTCTTCTTCTTCTTCATCTTCTCCTTCTTCTCCTTCATCATATTCTTTGTCTTCTTTTTATCTTTCTTTCTAGAGATTAAAGTTACGATGAAACGTTGATTTACCTTCGGCCTTTAAGGACGCGGGGCCGGTTATCCGACTTTGCATGACT